TCAAGAATGCCAGATCCTCCTGATGCAAAGTTGACACCACGAAGTATGCTACTCTTAAATGTTGTAGACGTTTTCTCAACTAAGGCGTAAAAGGCTGGCGGGCTTTCCGTATAATTACCCAAGTGCGTCGCTAAACAATCAATCATTTAATTTCTTTGTTAGATTTGCCTACGCTACGTATATAGTTAATAATTCAAAATACTTATAAAATGATAGACCAAAAAAACATCTTTAACTATTTAAGGAATAATACTGTCACATGAACGAAGTACAAAAAAGTTGCGTAATCATTGTTATAGTGAGCACTAAAAATAGCAAAAAATGTTTTAGAGAGCTGATCATTTTAGAAAGGAAATAGTGAATATATATATACCAATGATATCCGCGGGGTTATAGCCATTGCTAAACCTTCCTGTAGCAATGTGGTGTGGGTAATCAATTCCATAGTAAGGATTGTTAGCTGTAGCAAGACTGCCATTTACATAATTATTAGTTCCAACGTCTACAGTCGAATCGCCAAATATAAAAATAGCTGGTACATCTGCCATGACCAACTTTGTTGACCAAATAACAACAGATAACAGCAAAATCTTAAACCTATGCAAGAGAAGATCCCCTAGCTTCGCCATGTATGAGAGCTTAAATTTTCTCGAGGTATTCTCCTTCTTGTTTCACTCAGTTCGAGTAGTTGCTGCATCTACATATCATTTCTGACCTTATTTATAATTACGTCTGGAAAAAATAGACATGAGCAAAAGGTTAAAAAATGCCGTGTTCAACGTGGGAAGAATCTTATGATGATATCATCATCAACCCTAGGCCAGTTGGTTTAATTACCTCGCTAAATTAAACTTGTGTACTTCTATAACACATGGACGACGACGACAATAACATACCCATTATTATCCCACACCGTAGGTATGGGGAGGGTAATGTATACACAGACCTTACCCAGACCTTGTGAGGATAGCGAGGCTGTTTCCAATACACCCTCGACTCAGGAAAGCATAAGCACCACATTAATGAAAATATAGACAAGAAGTGACAGTACCAAAAGCCATATAAAAGCAGAATAAAAACAACAAGATAGTAAGGTGATCAACAATGAAAGAAGATAACAGAAACCTACTACCAACAGAAAGCAAGACTGCGTGCCAATACTACTGTTATGAACACTCTAGACTACCTACTCTACTACCCTAATCATCGACCTCCATACCTTCCTATCGAGGGTCATATCCTCGGTCAACTGAAGTTGCGTCATATCTTGCCTAATCACCTCTCCTCACCTCTTCTTTGGCCTACCTCTGCCTCTCCGTAGGCCCTCCAATGTCAACCTCTCACACCTCCTCACTGGGGTGTCTGTGTTCCTCCTCCTCACATGACCAAACCACCAAAGTATATTCTATAACTCATAGAATATACTATTATTATACTAATGGGCGGATCTACATACTAAACTTGGGTGCTTCAGCACCCACTAACCTTATCACATAGCCTATGTTAGCTATATAGAAAATGTGAGGTGTTTGATATATTAAACCAGGAAGCACCTAGATAACAAAAAGGCTGATGGGTGCTTTGGTCAAGCAAGGATAGTGGCTGTTTTAGTAGTGTGAGGGGTTGGGAGTTCGAAACTCACTCATAGTAGGCTTAAGTTTGCTTTCTTCCTTTACCCCATTTAGGTCTCCTTTTTAAATTTTTATCAAGTAGCTACATTTTTTATCCAATACTACTACTTTATTTATTTTCATCCCAGACTACTTTTTCCCTGAATTCTTTTTTACCTTCCCCCCTTTTTTATAAAATTTTTTATTTTGTATTGTACCTAGTAATTCTCTATAACAAAGAAAGAAAGAAACTCCAAAGTTCGACCCTTCTAAAAACAAATAGTTCCTCTAGAGTGGCAAAATCCATTAAAAAAATTTTCGCCAGTTGCATTTTTCGTTACACGCGTTTATAATATTAATACGAGTTTTTTTATTAACTTTTTTTACCGTTATGTTCAAATAATTATGCACTTATACTATGTGATCGGTAGTAACTGTACGTCAAGAAAAGTTAAACACCCACGAGCCCAAAATCCTGGATCCGTCACTGATTATACCATGAGTATATATATTTCAATTTTACTTTTACATTAAAAAAAAGATAGTTTTGTGACTTCACATATATAGTAAATAAAATTCAATAGTCATAAGTTATCCAATATTTCTCGTAAAAAATAACATCTGTTATACCAAACATACTCAATGAAAATTCATTTTTAGACCATTAAAAAGGTAAATAATATCAAGATACCCCTGTCATTCCTTCATAAACAGTTGAAAAAGACAACAAACCAGCATAGGGATATTAGTTTGATGAATATGGACAACATGTGTCGTATTAATATAATATGTACACAAAATAAAGAAGATCTGTCTAGAGTTGATTGACGTCGCGGCGACATGAACAAAATGGAGTATTAGTTACGTTGTCTGAACGAGATCGCTTCTAGTTAAAAACTATGTACATCCTTTTCAGTTTTACTAAGAGTATATGTCCTTTCTAGCTAATCATGTCCAGAATATCTAATTATAGAATATCCTTGACATATTGCATCTTTTATTTTGTTTTCTTAAAGCCACTAAAAGCATTGCATGTGCCAAGTCAATGTGAAGTTAAGATCCGTTTTTTCATCATTATTTCTACTTAAGTCAAAAGAAAATAAGTTCAATTGCACATTGCCAAATATGAAAATCTAATACATATCATGATGGAAGATAGAAAGAACAGGCGTAATTCCAAAATTAACGTGCACTCCAGTAATGTTGATGAATATTGCTAAATTTCATAATCTTGTAAATCATTAAAACACGGTCAATGTTCGAAATGAGCAAGCATGACACATAACTAATGCGATTCACAGTATTACGAAAATTAGAAGTGAAAATGTTAACTAATTAGATTTTCTCAAAGACTTCATTATTATTTTTCTAAAATGAAGTATTTTCCGTGCCTTGAAGAGGTCCGTTTTTTTAAATAGAAGAAAACAGATATGATTGGGTTAACAACTTAACATGTTCGAATTGTGATCTTTTAACAATTACAAACAATCTCCATTCTTGAATTGGTTGCTCCACCCACTCTTGATATGGATTAATGTGTTTAACTGGAAATGCATATGATAGTTGAGCATATATTGAATGCCGCTTTCTTCTCCATCTCCTTAATTTATACTATTATTTTACATTTTAAATCAATCAATTAAGTCTTTTAAATAAAGTTTCTTATTAAATACTTACAAATTTATCTATTAACATAATACAAATTGTAAAGTGAATTTTTATGTCTTTCTTGGTAATAATATGATTCTCAAAAGTACTTTATGGAAAGATTAGTCAAATTCAATTTGTTTCTTTAATTTCATACTAACAAATTTTTCCATTTAAAAACTATTACGTTCTTAAAATGTTTTTTCTGAAACTCCATTTGAAAAGAACTCATTTCACAAGGAGCAACTTTGGAAGTTTGACATCAGTCCTAAACCCCTCCGCTAATGTCCATATTTTCATTTTACACTCCCTTATTGAAATGGCATATTACTTTTAAGACTACAAGGTTCGAAATATATTTTTGATATAATATACTATACATATTTAATTTAAAATTATAAAATTCAAAATATTTCTTAGTATTCTTAAACTTAAACTTATACTCAATTAAATTAAGATACATGAAAATGTAACTTCCCTAAGGATCTGACTCCTCTCCATTTCTCTTCTCTCCATATCCTCAAGTTCCAGCTTAGATTAGGGACACATGAAATAGGTTAAAATTAATGACTAAGATTTAATTGACTAAAGCGAGGCCCTAACTATGGCTTAAATTAGGGGTATACATGGCACTGGGTTGGTTCAGTTTTTATTAAAACCAAACCAAACCAATTATATTGGTTTGGATTGGTTCGATTTTGTAGAGAAAGATATAACATAGCCAAAGAAGAAAGGGCAGTTATGTAATTTCTTAGTGTTAGTTAATTAGTTATTAACTACTAATCCTAGTTGTTAGAGTTAGTTAGAATAGAGTATAATTACTCTTGTATAAATATACTCCTTCACTGTATAGATGAATTAAGTGGAATAGAATCATTTCCTTCTCTCCTTACACGCTCATCTCTATCACTATGTTTCTCTCTTCTTCAAACTGGGCAAGAACCCATTGATTAGTTCATGGTATCAAAGCACTCGAGCTAATTCACAAAGCTTGAAACTTGATTCTGTTCTTCATTTCCGCAAATTATTCAAAGCTTTAAGTCAATTGTTGATTGTTCAATTTCTTGAAGGAATCTTGTTTGCTATAGTGATTAATGAACAATCTGTCCCATCTGGAAATCAGACTTCAAATTCAAATCAAGGACGTTTGCATGCATCTGCTCCAGAAATTTATTACAATCATCCACTATTTTTGAGCCCATCAGAAGTAAGTGGTATACAAATTATATTGTTTCAGTTAACTGGCATTGAAAACTATTTTCTCTGGTTTCGATCTATGAGAATGGCATTATTAGGAAGGAATAAGTTGGGGTTAGTTGATGGAACTTGTTCCAAAGAAAGTTTCCCAGAAAATATATGGAATCATTGGGAAAGGGTAAATGCAATTGTGCTTTTTTGGTTAATGAACTCTGTTAGTAGTGGTTTACTTGGGGGTATAATGTATGCCTCAAGTGCTCAAGCCGTGTGGAATGATTTGCATGAAAGGTTTGATAAAATAGATGGTTCAAGATCTTACAATTTACATAAAGAAATTGCACACTTAGCCAAGGAACGGTATCTGTGTCTGCATATTTTTCAAAGCTTAAAGACTTGTGGGAGGAGTTTGAAGCCTTGGTTCCTGCTCCTGGGTGTGATTGTCCAAAGTCAAGAGACTTTGTAGTTCATCTACAAAAATTAAAATTGTTTTAGTTCTTGATGGGGTTAAATTACTCCTATAGTCAAGCTAGGAGTTAGATTTTGTTGATGGGTCCAATGCCAACAGTTAACCAAGCATATGCTATGGTAATCAGTGATGAGAGTCAAAAATCAATCGCAGCCAATGCTGGTTTACTAGGAGCAAATCTTACATTTGGAACTGGACAATATGATGTGGCAATGTACACCAAGACTGAAGGAAATTTTCAGAAAACCAGGAAGAATTTCAATCTATTCAGTGAGTTTTGCAAAATGAAAGGTCACTCTAAAGAAACTTGCTACAAGATTGTAGGCTATCCTCCAGAATACAGACCAAGAAATAAGAGTACAAATACTCATAGTGCATACAATGTGTTATCTGATATGAGTATTCAAAAGAATCAGCTGCCAAAAGGGAATTGGAATGAGAACAATTCACAAAATTCTCAATTGACAAGTAGTGTTGTGAGTACTAATAGCTCACATTTGATTGGGCAAGTGAACAACAATTCTTGGCTGGGTAATTACACATTCACCAAAGAACAGTATGACCATATTGTGCAACTTCTAAGCAAAGATAACTCAATTTCTGCTTCAGCAACTCCATCAGCTAATGCAGCTGGTATACCTTATGCTTTGTTAACTTCTGATAGTTTACAAGAGTGGATAATAGACACAGGGGCCACAAACCATATGGTAGCTGATCTAGAACTATTGAATAAGGTTTCATTAGTTCAAACAAGCCAGCCAAAGAAAGTACATCTACCTAATGGAGAAACTACTCAAGTTACTCATATTGGAACTAGTACTTTATCAGATCAAAACACAATAACTAATGTGTTTTACATTCCTCAATTCAAATATAATCTTCTGTCTGTTTCTAAAGTAACCAAGGAGCTGAAATGTTCAGTTGCTTTCTTTCCTGATTTTTGTGTATTTCAGGAACTCTTCAGTGGGAGGGTGAAAGCGATTGGTAGAGAAGACATTGGTCTGTACATTCTCAGTAGACAAACAATACCAGGAAGTAATACAATTAATCTAAACACAATGGAGACAGAAGTCAATAAAGAGACTAGCTCAAGTGACATTGATCTTTGGCATAGAAGGCTTGGTCATGTGTCTACTACTGTCTTCAAGAAGTTACTATCAGAAAAGATACAAGATATGTCTGCTAGAATAGACTTATATAGTATATTCCCTTGTGCAAAGCAAACAAGACACCCTTTTCTTGTCAGTAGTATTAGAACAACTGCTAGTTTTGAGTTGGTTCATATGGATTTGTGGGGACCTTACAAAGTTCCTACTATGGATGGTAACACACTTTTCTTAACTGTAGTAGATGACTTTACTAGAATGACATAGATTTTCCTGCTGAAAATGAAGTCTGATGTGTGTGTGATTATACAATAATTTTTTGCTTTTGTGAAAATACAATTTGACACAACTGTGAAAACAGTTCGAACAAATAATGGTACATAATTTGTTAACTCAGTTTGTGGAAATCTGTTTAATAGTCTAGGAGTAATTCATCAGAAGCCATGTCCATATACTCCTCAGCAAAATAGAGTAGCTGAGAGAAAATATAGACACATCTTAGAACTCACTAGAGCTATCACATTTCAAGCTGAAATACCAATCAAATTTTGGGGTTATTGTGTACTTGTTGCAGTCTATCTTATTAACAGACTGCCTAGTTCTATTATTGATAATAAGAGCCCATATGAAAGATTGTATAGCAGGAAACCAGCATTACAACATCTCAAGGTTATAGGCTATTTGTGTTATGCAAAGATAATTCAACAAAATGACAAACTAATGCCTAGATCATGACCTTCTATACATATGGGATATGCTGCAGCTCAAAAAGGATATTTGCTATATGATTTAATAGATAGAATTTTTTTGTAAGCAGAGATGTTTAATTCAGAGAAGATATATTTTCATTTAAAAACAAGCAAGACAACAACAAGTCTTTATTTATTCATCCCAACATAGCAGACATCTTATTCCACACCACAGATTCAAGCACATATACTACAACTACAGAAAATCACATGCATATAACTCAACAAGAAGGTGTTATAATGTCAGAGTTCACACAAGCTCACACATAGCATTCTAAAGTTATTCCTGCAGAAGTCATACAGCCAACTACTCAACAGATATCAATCATACAACCATCAATAGTTCAAACACCACAGACTGCTCCTACTAATCTTTCAGATCAACCAGATATCAGAAAGTCTGGTAGAGGAAAGAAATCACCTATTTGGATGAAAGATTTTGTGTCATTAACTGCTCACCATGATGAACCTTATGCCATATCAAAGTGCTTAACCTATGAACACTTAACTTCCAAGTATCAAGCTTATTTGACAGCTGCTTCAAATATTATTGAGCCAACCTTCTATTCAGAAGCTGTGAAAGATCCTAAATGGGTGGATGCAATGAAGGCTGAGATTGAAGCTTTATAAAACAACCACACATGGGACATAGTAATGCTGCCTGAAGGTAAGACTCCAATAGGGTGCAAGTGGATTTATAAGATCAAATACAAGGCATCAGGTAAAGTAAAAATATTTAAAGCCAGGTTAGTAGCCAAAGGATTCAGCCAAAAGGAAGGAATGGACTATCAAAAAATATTTTCTCCAGTCATAAAGATGAAGACTGTAAGAATTGTACTGGTTTTAGCTGCTACAAGATATTGGCATATACATCAAATGGATGTCTATAATGCCTTTTTACAGGGAGATTTACTTGATGAAATATACATGACTCTGCCACAAGGATTCACAAGTCAGAGGGAGAATAAAGTGTGTAAACTTATTAAATCCTTGTATGGTTTAAAACAAGCTCCACGACAATAGAATGCTAAGCTAACAAAAGCATTACTGAGCTCTCAATTTCAGCAAAGTCAATATGGCCACTCTCTGTTCTTTAAGAAAACTACAGAAGGTATTACAATAATTTTGATTTATGTAGATGACATGCTTGTTACCGGTGATTGTCTGAAACTAATAGAGAAAACCAAAACAAATCTGCAACAGTCTTTCAAAATAAAAGACCTAGGAGAATTGAAATACTTCTTAGGTATAAAGTTTGCTAGATCAAAACAAGGAATACTTATGCATCAGAGGAAATATGCTTTGGAACTTATTTCTGAGACAGGTATTGCAGCTGCTAAACCAGCAATTACACCACTGGATGTCAATATGAAACTCACAACAACAGAATATGATGAACATCTTAGAAAAACTAAGCCTACTACATTGGTGGATGAAGAACTGTCAGATTCAACTCCTTATCAAAGGATGATAGGTAAACTCCTATATTTAACAATGACAAGGCCATACATTTCATTCAGTGTACAAACACTATGTCAATTTCTTCAAAGACCAATGAAATCTCACATGGAAGCAGCTCTAAGAATTGTAAAGTACATCAAGAACAGTCCAGGACAAGGAATACTACTCTCCGGCAAATTCAACAGCAATATTTCAGCATATTGTGATGCAGACTGGGCTGCCTACCCATACTCAAGGAAATCTGTCTCAGGATATCTAGTCAAATTTGGAGACTCCTTAATATCATGGAAATCAAATAAGCAAATCACAATTTCAAGAAGCTCAACAGAAGCTGAGTATAGAAGCCTTGCAGCAATTGTAGCAGAACTCATCTGGCTAATTGGATTACTAAAAGAAGTGGAAATTGATTTCAAACTACCTGTGGAAGTATTCAGTGATAGCAAAGCTGCAATGCAAATTGCAGCTAATCATGTTTATCACGAAAGGACAAAGCACATCGAGATTGACTGTCACTTCATTAGAGAAAAAATCATGCAAGGGCTAATCAAAACAACATACATATCTACTGAAGAACAGCCTGCAGATATTTTAACTAAGGGTCTCAATAAGATGCAGCATGAATATCTTTCTTCCAAGCTAGGTGTTCTCAATGTGTTTTCAGTTCCTAGCTTGGGGGAGTGCAGAGAAAGATATAACATAGCCAAAGGAGAAAGGGCAGTTATGTAATTTCTTAGTGTTAGTTAATTAGTTATTAACTACTAATCCTAGCTGTTAGAGTTAGTTAGAATATAGTATAATTACTTTGTATAAATATACTCCTTCACTGTACAGATGAATTAAGTGGAATAGAATCATTTCCTTCTCTCCTTACACGCCCCTATCTATCACTATGTTTCTCTCTTCTTTCTCTTCTTCTATCTTCTTCAAACTGGGCAAGAACCCATTGATTAGTTTAGATTTTGTCGGGTTAATAGGGTTTTCGAGTTTTTTTGTTAGATTGATAATATTTCAATCTTACTTTGTTAAAGTTATAAATAAAGCTTTGACAAATAAATATTTATTTAGTAAAAACTGATAAATATATAATTTATTAAAATATTAAATATTTTTAGTAACACCTTATAATTATTTTTTTGGTTGTCCAACAATAATGTTTGGCTAAGTAGGCCTAGTGTTGCATTTAAGAAATAAAGGGGTTAATTCGTCATTTCAGTAGGCATTGCTCCAAACGTCAGATGACCGAAGCCAAACTCTTTTTCTCTCTCTCTATCTCTCTAGACTTGATTTGTTGTTTTTCAACTCTCCGGTAAGTCCTGACTAAACTGAAAACACTAAGCAGCAGCTTATAATTCAGGCCGCCGCATAATTGTATAACAGAGAACTGTAAGGAATGTGTATTGAAGAAAAAAGTGTTATCAAGTGAATGATTATTTTAAAAAAGGAGAAATGGGAGCATTATGCGGCGGCGGCGGCCTCTCACGCGACATATTGGATCGTTTCTCCGACCGTTGTCTCCACTTCTTCCCGTGTCTTTCCGATCCCGGTAACTATTCTTTCGTTTTTACTGTTTCAATTCATCTATTTTCATTTATTTACATTTAGGAGTTTTTAACCCTGAATTATTAACTTTTGCTTGTTTAATTGTAGCTCGGAGATCGACTTTTTGCTTGAGAATAGCGTTGGTGATACTGCACTTGATCTATGTGGCCGTTATATTTGTCTTTGGCGAAGATTTGATTCACAAAACTAAACAAGAGCCATGGTAATTGCTCTCTCTTTGCTTCTTGAAAACAAAGTATGAGTCTTTTTTCAGAATTAGGAGCTAACTTATGAAGGAGTTGATTTATATGAGAGAAATACCAATAATACAGTGAAAAAATGAGTCTTTTTTCCGGAATTAGCAGCTAACTTATGAAGGAATTGATTTGATTGAGGGCAAATACCAATAATATAGTGCAAAAATTGGGTCTTTATTCACCTAATAATGTGCTCTCACTTTACTTCATTGTTTGATTCATCTAATTCATTAGCAGCTAACTTATGAAGGAATTGATTGTCATGATACAGTGCATTGAACAAATGAAATTGAGTCTTTTTGCTTGCTACTTACTTTTTAGACTAATTTAAAAAGAATGACCTCTTTCTATATTTGGATAATCTGACCAAAAAAGGAAACAGAAACAGATATATCCTATTTATATAAGTCTCTGGTTCAAAAGGAAAATGATGGAATCGAATAAAATGGCCCTATCTTGACCATTCTTAATGATTTTTTAGAGATTTAACTTTTATTTAGGTGTTTTTACTAAAATCACTGAGACCCTCTTCCTTGCTTTCAAGGTACACAATTATATATTTGCTGCTGTTTGCTGCTACACTAGCTCAATACTTCATCACCTCTGGTTCTTCTCCTGGGTAATTTCATGCACACTTCTACCTTTTGATTTACTATCCATTTATTAGTCTTTACTAGCTTCAGTGCTACTTCACTGAAGGGCCGGTAAAGTTGCATTTGTGTGCTCAGTTAAAATTTCTGTTGAACTTGTAGCTACGTTCTTGATGCCATGAGAGTTGTCAATGAGGCAGATATGTCGCGTAATAGGGCATCAATGACCTCAAAGTAAGAGAATTTCCTTTCTGGTTCATTACATGGAAAGTAAATTATTAGTTCTCCTGGTATCTTTGAAATATTCAGTGTAAATATGTAGAGAGTTCTGCAGGCTTATCTAATTGCTACTATTTTCTGCCTATTGTGATGTAAAATTATCAAGCAAAGACAACCCGCTTCAAGCAAAAATGGATGTAGTTGTTACAATCGACAGGAACCAGTTAGGAAGGAATCTCCTAGGCCGTGGTACGATGGCTTGGACAAAGCTGGTTATGGATATGTATCCTAGTGGAACATCTCTTAGGTAAGGATAACTTGAATAACACCATGTTTATGCTTTTCTTGTTATCTCTAAAGCAGCTGCTCGTTTACTATATTGCAGCCTCTACCATAGCACTATTTGGTTCATCTTACATTGTGGTTCGATTTAACTTAAATTATTTTTGAACCAAGGATATCAAGGTTTGATTCAATCATTTGAATTCTACTTTTATTATATTTCATGACACTTGTTGGACTGGGAGGATATAGGGGACAATTTATGGTGATGGAAAAGTTGTTATAACACATTATCCATTTCAACAGTGTGATGCTTATATAACTATGAGATCTGGAAGAAAAATGTTAATAGTTTTAGATATAGAAGGCATCTCAGCATCATAAGATACCCCCAATTGGCTAACTGTATATTCCAATGAAGTGGCTAACTGTGGTGTGCAGTAGCTTTTTATATGAAGGAGAAGCTGTAACTACCCTGTATGATTTCCTAAGAATGTTGAGAAATGCCTAATCTTTCATTCAATAACAAAGGACAACATTTTAAATGACCCAATAATAACACATCTCAGGAGAATCTTTCATGATATTTTTTTTTATCCCTTATCAAAAAAAATATCATGAAACTTTCTGCTGAGATGTGTTATTATTGAGATGTGTTATTATTGGGTCATTTAAAGCCATAACTAATAGACATGTAATACAAGTGCCTGCAGTGTCAAGTTTGGTCATTTCCCCTTCAAAATACTAGTATAAACTTTGGTGTGAAACTAGATGAATTTATTAGGAAGCTGGTGTACATAATCTGTCATTAGTTCTGGTCATGAGTTTATGTCAAATAACGCGTCCTTGCTTGTTCATCATTTCTGGAAGTAGTTAGAGATTCATTGTAGATACTGAGTGCTTAGCTTGTGGAAGATGTTGGCATAAGTTTCTCCTCTGTAAATTCTCTTGGTTGTCCTAGATAATGAGTTTAGCTCTTCTTGTGGTTTAAGGTAAACTTGGACTCTGATAGTGATTAAGTCAGTTGCTGGGGAAATATTTTACCTTGTGAATTTTGCCCCCAACCTTTGGTCTAGTGGTAAGAGCGCAACACGCGATGTGTGGGTTAAGTGCATGACATGGATTTGAACCCTGCTTCCGACAAAAGCCTGGTAGTTGTGGAGAAGGGTAGAGGAGCAGACCCATTATCCACCAAGTTTTCAATCTTGCACCATTAGTCCTTGGGGATTTCTCAGTTATAAAAAGAAAAAATACGAATGTTAGACTAGTTTTTTCTTTCCTA